TCAACGCAAGAGAAAGACAATCTGAAAGAGAATAATTTTAGAGGAACAGCCGTTGACGGGAATGCTAGACGTACATTATTTAATATGTTGGTTGTCTTCCCCGTAAATCTACGCAATATCTAGTCGCATGTCTGATTTTTAGCATTTTTTGAATCTGTATTAAATATCAAATATTTCTTCACTTAAATTGAAGTTAGTAGCGGCATTTCTATGTATGCTCGATTTAGCTACCGTATGCTAAATAAATAAGTTAAAGATGATAGACCATAATTAAATGATGTTAATTGAAAACAAATCATTTAAGTTATCCAAAAAATAAGGGACCACAATACTTTAGAAGAGCTGTATACCAAGTGATTGCTCACGGTAATTACTGTATACACACATGCACTACCAGCTACAAGCGATAACGGGTATTAACTAGTGTGAATGACGCTAATTACCGTATAAACATGAACAATGCATATCTAAGTTACATTTTTGAAATAAGTTGTTGATAAAGCTAATATGTATAGTGCATATATGACAGTAATGGTTATTGAGCATAATCCAAAATGGACCGATGGCTCAGAGAAAAGGAAAGAAAATTTTGGATGCACAGCAAGGCCGTAACTACCATTGACGCAAGTGACGTAAATGCCTCACTAAAATTTTAGAGTTTTCTGAAAAATGACAAAGTTTTACTTTGAACTGTAATTAATTATGTGTGTCCTTGTACTAGATTAATTCTTTCAACATGTGTTTCATTTTCTGTAAATCGATCATTTCACTAGGTGCTTCATTACAGCTTAGAACGCATGTAAAAAGAAAATTCAAAGCGTGAAACTTTCAAAGATTAAGTCTTTAATTTGCTAAAAAGCCAGGTTTCGGGACCCCCACCCCTCCCCTCGAGAATTTCAGCAGGATATTTACCCTAGACCCGCTTGGGACTCGGGTGCCCCTAGATCCCTTGCCTCACTAAAAATTTGCGCCTTGTTACGGCCTTGTACAAGCTGAATTAAGTCATCCCGCCCTGATGGTATTAACAAACTCAATGATTCACCAGAATGAATATGAGTTAGGCCAAAATGTTCGGTAATCACAATCAAAACTAATCTCTCCACATGGTTGTTACTACCCAAGAAAGTATTACTTATTCATATTATTTTTAATTATACTTTTTCTAGATTATCTTCTTCGATTTACTGTTTTAACAATGCTATTATTCTTCTAAAGTTTTAAATTAATATTTCAAAATTTAAGGATGCTCTCAAATTGTAAATTATTAGTCTTCTTATAATTCTGTTCTACTTATACAATTTCCTTCATTATTATTTCATTTTAGTATCTTTAATCATATTGTAATAGTACTAAGCGCGAGTGCCTAGTCCTAAGGTTGCAAATAGTCAAAATCATATTAGGTAATTCGGTTGTATATGTAAATCACACATTCCCACAGTAGACCAGATTGACTGGAAGTGTCTCGCAGTTGTTCGGATTCATTTCATATTTATTAGTTTTCAACATCAAAATTTAAAATGAAAAAGTATAAATAAATAGGGTTTAGTAGCGTAGTTGTAGTGCTAGATAGATGTTTTTGTTTTCATTTATTTTGTATTTTTTTAAAATGACTTTTTAACCTTTTCGATGTCCTGAGGAAGGGACAGGGCTCCCGAAAATTTGATGATTTTTATTGTTCATGTCGTTGGTCATTTTTAGGGCTTTATATAAAATATACATTTCATGCGTGACCTTGTATCTATTTAGTTGTTGCGACACTTCGGACATACGTGTCGTTTTTTTAGTGCTCTCTCTCTCTCTTTCTATATATATATATATATATACAAGGGGTGATCAAAAAGTTCGCGAACTATCTCTCTATCTATATAACTACAATTCAGATCAGAATGAAATTTGGCATAGTTACATGTATATACATGTAGTCATAAACATGATCAATCTGATTAAAATCAGATCCTTTGATTCGCTCACATAGATCGCTACACAAGGAACTGAAGAAACTCCATTTAGGGTCATCTTCTTGTGACCTCTCTAGTAAAAATATTCATTAAAATTTTGACCAATCAGAGAGATCGTACTTAAGCGACATTCGGAAAAATGAATGCAAAACAAAGAGCTTAAAAAACAAGGCAGAGCAAGTACTAAATATATTTCTGTACAGAAAAGACTGTGGTCGTTCTTTTGACAGGCTACGGAAACCAGGTCACGATTTTCCGTTCGTGTATCATCGGGGCTTTTACTTCTGTAACTAAATTCCAAGATACTTCTAAATACTTGGAAGCAAACGTTTGATTCAATAATTGAAAGGTCACCAGGAGATGACCCTGAATGGGTTTTTTTCAGATCCTTGTGTAGCGATCTAAGTGAGCGGTTCAAAGGATCTGATTTTAATCAGATTGAAAGATGATCTGTAAACAGAATGTGTTACGTAATATTTTTCTTCATATTTATGACGTCACAATGTGAAAATGACGTCAATATGCAGATAACTTGTGATAAAAATTGTTGACTCAGTCGTACGCGAGCGAGGAACTACGCTGGCGGCCGTCACTTTACGCTACCGTTATGTGTGTAACCCATATATACAGCATTTTCACTGAAAACTCACTGATACCTTACACCTAAAAGTAAAAGTGTACAGTGTCATTGCAAAATTCCATATACACTCTACATTAGCGTTATGTGTGTAAAATGTCAGGAAAAGTTTCATGTACATTCTACATCTAAAGGTGGTATCAAGTATCAAAGCAGAACAAGCGTTTCTTAGTGCTGCCCCCTCTTCGTTTCATACCGTACCTTTGAGCATCTAATACTCATTTCCCAGTAGGTATAACTTTGTTTAGAATACTACTCAGGAATTTCACCTACAAAAAATATACTGTGAGACATTATCATTCTCTGTATATAAAAGATATATTTAAAAAATCATGTTCAATACGAAATACAATTATGATATTTTCTCCGTTTTGGGGTACTCAATAATCATGTTAATTACCAAGGAACCTTGTCAGCATTTCCCCACATCTATGTAAACTTCAAGAGGCTCCTTGTGGGGACAACGCTAAAAAGCTGGTTCTGTTTGATACTTGATACCACCTTTAGATGTAGAGTGTACATGAAACTTTTCCTGACACTTTACACACATAACGCTGGTGTTGAGTGCACATGGAATTTTGCAATGACACTGTACATTTTATACACTTTTACTTTTAAGTGTAAGATATCAGTGAGTTTTCAGTGAAAATGTTGTACATGTTACACACATAACGTTAGTGTAAATTGACGGCCGCTATCAGCCATTGTAGTTCCTCGCCCACGTACGACTGAGTCAACTATTTTTTATCACAAGTCATTTGCATAATGACGTCATTTTCACATTGTGACGTCATAAATATACAGTATTCAAGCTCAAAAGTCCACCAAACAATACAAATCAGGAGCAGAGCAAACACGGACCTCTAAAACATCAGAGGTGGGATCAGGTACCATGGAGGAGTGAGCATCCCCTGCCGACCTGTCACACCCGCCGTGTGCTCCTTGTCATGATCGGGAAATAACGGAAAAATCCGTCGACAATTCAGTGTGTAAATAATGGCCTAACAATTAGTATGGAACGCGTCAGTCGGCATCTGCGTTAATGATAAATTGTATCTGCTGACAAGGTCATTGTATCGACCATAGAACTTTCGAAATGACGACTTTAAACGAGACTGCTGATATTCTTGTTGATCAGCTTGTTTGTCAATAACTTACCCCGTTTTAGAAATTGTTCATACGTAGAGCATGCTCTGGCGTATCGAATCAACTGAGAGATATAAGCCCCGTATGCAGGTGATGAAGGTATATTACTGCATAAGTAAGGGAAGTTGACGATTGAAAAGTTAAAGTCATCACGTTTATCATAAAGCTTGGTTGTTAGATAACCATTAACGTCTTTTTCTAGTAAAATATCCAAATAAGCAGATGTGTCAGACTCTGTGGTATCTTTTATTTCAAGCTCACCTTGATATATCGTACATGTATCGACATAAGAATGGAAATAACCATTGTTAATTGACAATACGTCGTCGACATGTCGAGTTAAAGGCCTCAGCAAGTGTTTTCTTCTTTTCACGTAAAACATTTTGAACAAATTCTGGTTCATATGAATACAAAAATAGGTCTGCTAATAATGGAGTGCAATTGGTACCCATGGGAATTCTAAAAAAAAAAAAAAAAAAAAAATGTAGTTTGTATCGACCGAATGAAATCGCTATATTTGTATTATATATGTTTTTATGTTATTGATTTTGGTAAGATTCTGTGATTTCAAATTTTCCAAAAGTTCCTTGGAATTTTTAAGCATCCACATCTGATTTACACCACTTCTCAAATAACTTGTTGCACAGCACTCCTGAAGTTTATCCTTCACTACTGTTAATATTTTAGTGAGGAGTAAAGGAAGAGGCTTGATAGAACATTTTCTGGAACCCGCTATGTATCTTTGTTTGTAAGAATTTTTATGATTTTCAGTTTAGGTATTTAAATTAACGTCTGTTTTGTAAGTGTTCAATATCGCATCATTCCAATGACCCTACCAAGCGTTATGATATGCTTATTGAGGCTAATACATACTAAATTATTAATTAATAATTTCAATTTTGCGTGAAAATAAACACATCTTTCCTAGCTGTCATTACCTATTATTAATTTGCCTTTGAGAGGTTGACCAGACGACATTTTTTGTTTTCAACGATATTAAACAACCGTCACGGTAGCTCAGTCGGTAGAGCATTCTCAGATTAAAAAAAAAAGAGGGCTCTCTTCGTGGTTCGGAAGGTCCTGTGTTCGAATCACGGTCTCGACTGACCTATGGGTGGGTATTTGATATATTTTGATATTTAGTCTCTATGTTATAAAAAAGAGGGGTCAAATGCTGGTTCGGGTCTCAAGGGGTGATACTTATGCCACTAGGTCTCACCACTTAAAACCTTGAGTTAATGCCCACCGTCTCTAAATAGGTTCTGCCAGCAAGTCACATGCCACATCTCCTCGTGGTGACCCTGGAAATGCCTTATTAGCTAAGTGGCAGTGGCAAAAGGCGAGTGTCCGGCGCCTTGAAATAACTGGAACCCGTGGCTAAGGGAAGGATACCCTGACAGAAAACCACTCGCCCTCCGAGTCCAGGGGGTTGAGCTTAGGGCTAACAACCCTAACTCATAAAAAAGTATTGTTACGGAAACAGTAACGAGGAATATCTCTATACCTGTGAATGAGAGCCTCTCTGGGACCTGCACTGGAACCAGTATGACTGTAGGTAGTGAAAGCCATTGGGAAACTACCAACACGAATAGGGAGGCCCTTAACACGGCCAAGACTAAGATCAAAATAGGATTCTGGAATGTACGTACTATGTATGCAATCGGTAAATTAGCACAAGTAACAGCCGAGATGAGAAGATACAACCTGCACATGCTGGGAGTCAGTGAAAGCAGATGGACTGATTCTGGGAAAATACGTACAACAACAGGTGAAACATTACTGTATTCTGGTCGAGAAGATGGACTACATCATGAAGGGGTTGCAGTTATTCTCAAAAAGGGAACTGAGAAGTCTTTAATGGAATGGAAGCCAATCAACAGTAGATTGCTAACAGTACAGCTTAGAGGAAAGCAAGTCAACATGACATTATTCCAGTGTTATGCACCCACTAACGATGCAGATGAAGAACATAAAAATGCTTTTTATGAACAACTACAGCAAGAACTAGACAACACACCAGACCACGATATTAAGATCATCATGGGTGATATGAATGCTAAAGTCGGAGCAGATAATGAACTATACAATAGGGCAATATGGGACGACATGGTTGTGGAAGCATGAATGAAAATGGAGAGAGACTTGTAGAGTTTTGTACCACCAACAACTATGTAATTGGAGGAACACCATTCCCCCACCAAAACATTCATAAGTTAACCTGGCACTCTCAAAACATGAGAGACAAAAATCAAATTGACCACATCATGATAAATGGAAAATGGAGACGATCATTATTGGATGTGAGGGTGAAGAGAGGTGCCGATGTTGATAGCGATCACTACCTCGTAACAGCAACTATCAAACTAAAACTGCGTAGCACAGAGAGAAAGAACATGGCAAGAAAGAAATTTGATGTGGATAAACTTAAAGACATCAAGGTACGACATGAATTCAACATCATGCTCAAGAATAAGTTCGATATATTACAAAATTTGGAACCAGAGGACAACATACATGTAACATCAATCGACAAAAAGTGGGAAAAAATTAGCAACATCTACACTGAAACTGGTGAGAAATGTATTGGTTATAGGCAGAAGCATAGGAGTAAAGACTGGATAATGCCTAGAACGTGGATAATGATTGACTCAAGAAGAGATGCCAAAAAGAAAGTAAATGAGGCCAAATCTCTGAGACTTAAAGAGAGACATCAAAGGGAATACAGTGAAATAGAGAAGGAAGTGAAAAAGGCTCTACGTGCAGACAAGAGAGCACACATAGATGACCTAGCAACAAAAGCAGAAGAGGCAGCCAACAGAGGAGAACAAGGAAACCTTTACAAAATAACCAAGGCACTGAGTGGCAGGAATAGACCATCTCCCAATCTACCTGTCAAGGACAAAACAGGAAAGTTGCTGTCATCAGAACAAGAGATGGAGGAACGATGGACAGAGCATTTTAAGGAAATCTTAAACAGACCACCTCCAACTCATGAACCTGACATCAGTTATCCATCAAATGACCTAAACATAAGCATTGAACCACCACAAATTCCAGAAATTGTCTCTGCAATACAAAGTCTAAAAAATGGAAAAGCCCCTGGATATGACAACTTAAATGCAGAATTGTTCAAAACAGATCCACTTCTTACAGCCACAATTTTACAGCCAATATTCCATAACATCTGGGAAAGAAACACCATACCAGATGAGTGGAACCATGGAGTCATCATTAAAATACCAAAGAAAGGCAACCTAAACGACTGCAACAATTGGCGAGGAATAACACTGCTTTCCATCCCAAGTAAGATCATGGCTAAAATCATCATCAGAAGGATATCCGTAGCTGTAGATGTCAAACTGCGTAGAGAACAAGCAGGATTTAGGCAAGGGCGAGGATGTATTGATCAAATATTTACACTAAGAAACATCATTGAACAGTGTACAGAATGGCAACGACAGTTATATATTAATTTTATTGATTTCGAAAACGCCTTCGACAGCATTCATAGAGACAGTCTCTGGAAAATTGTGCAGTCATATGGCATCCCACAACATCTAATAGATATCATCAAGAGTTTTTATGTCAACTTCAGATGCAGAGTTGGAAACAGCAGCATTGAGTTTGACGTTTAAACAGGAGTCCGTCAAGGCTGTGTAATGTCATCAACACTATTCATCATAGCCATTGACTGGGTCATGAAGAATACAACATCTGAAATTCAGAGAGGCATCAGATGGGGTACATTTACAATTCTAGAAGACCTGGACTTTGCTGATGATATAGCCTTATTCTCCCACTCCCACCAGCACATTCAAAACAAAACCAGCAGGATACACAAATATGCAGGAAGCATTGGACTGAAGATAAACACCAAAAAAACAGAGGTCATGACCCTAAATGTAAACAACCCACAAGCGGTCAAAGTGGAAAATCACATCCTTCCATGCACCAACACCTTTACATACTTGGGTAGCAAAGTAACAACAGATGGTGGAGCAGAGACCGACATCAAAGAGAGACTATCCAAGGCAAGAGCAGCTTTTAACAACCTACATACTGTTTGGAGATCAAGTCAGTACACAACAAGAACAAAGCTGGAACTATACAAAAGCTGCATTCTACCTATCCTTTTGTATGGATCAGAGTGTTGGAGAATGACAGAGAGCGACCTGAACAAGCTGTCAACATTTCATACAAAGTCCCTGAGAAGGATCTTAAGAATATTTTGGCCCAATACCATCTCAAATCAAGACCTTCTCAACAGGTGCCAGCAAGAGGACATGGCTACAATCATCATCAGAAGACGCTGGAACTGGCTTGGCCATGTACTCAGAAGGGACTCGGACAGCATCATAAAGACAGCTCTCTTCTGGACACCAGAAGGAAAACGGAAGAGAGGAAGGCCCAAAGTCACCTGGCGGCGGACAGTGGAAGCCGAACTTAAAGAACAAAAGAGAAGCTGGGGCACACTCCAAAAGCTAGCCAGTGATAGACAAGGATGGAGAACCCTCGTTACTGCCCTATACGCCAAAGGCGTCACGGGCAGTATAAGTAAGTTATAAAAAAGACGAGAAAAAAATGTAGTTTGTATCGACCGAATGAAATCGCTATATTTGTATTATATATAGGAATTTATTGGAATACAGAGGAAACAATCTCATAAAAATTTCCTAATGGTTTGTTTTTTAATCTTAAGCTTCAGACAGTTTCAAAGCTGAATTTCATTTCTTTATTGTGCATTTTAAAAGTTTTTGTGAGTTAGAGATGTCATCTTTCCACCTGTTAACTTGATAATGATATTCAGTTCTATTCTTTTTATGCCCCCGTATCGAAGATTCGGGGGTATATAGTTTTTGCCCCGTCCGTCTGTCTGTCTGTCTGTCTAGCTGTTTGTTTGTTTGTCCGCAAAAACTTTAAAATTGCTCATAATTTTTGATTGGTTGGAGCAATGGCTTTCATATTTCACATGTATATTCCTTGTGACAAAACCTTTCTTTGGGTAGTTTTTGACCTTTTACCTTGGAGTTTGACCCTTCTTTTGGATACAAACAACTTTGACCCTTCGACCTTGATCTTGGAGTTCGACCTACTTTTGGAAAATTTTAACCTTGGCCATTACTTTTGAATAGTTGGAGCTAGGGCTTTCATACTTCACATATGTAATCCTTGTGACAAGGCCTTCCTTTGGATACCAACAACTTGGACCCTTTGACCTTGGATTTTGACCTACTTTTGCAAAACTTTAACCTTGGCCATTACTTTTGAACAGTTGGTGCTAGGGCTCTCATACTTCACATATGTAATCCTTGTGACAAGAACTTCTTTTGGATACTAACAACTTTGAACCTTTGACCTTGACCTTGGAGTTTGACCTACTTTTGCATAACTTTAACTTTGGACATTACTTTTGAACAGTTGGTGCTAGGGCTGTCATACTAAACATATGTAATCCTTGTGACAAGACCTTACTTTGGATACCAACAACTTTGACCCTTTGACCTTGGAGTTTGACCTACTTTTGAAAGACTTTAACCTTGGCTATAACTTTTGAACGGTTGGTGCTAGGGTTTTCATACTTTACATATGTAATCCTTGTGACAAGACCTTCCTTTGAATACCAACAACTTTTGCCCTTTGATCTTGGAGTTTGACCTACTTTTGGAAAACTTTAACCTTGGCCATTACTTCTGAATATTCGGTGCTAGGGCTGTCATACTTCACATATGTAATCCTTGTGACCTTACTTTGGATACCAACAACTTTGACCCTTGGTCTTGGAATTTGACCTACTTTTGAAAGACTTTAACCTACTTTAATCTTTTCCATATCTATTTAATGGTTGCTGCTAGGATTTTATATTTCAGAGGTATATTCCTCGAGACAAGACCTTACTTTGGGTACCAACATATATGATTTGCATTTGAGAAAGTTTAACCTTTGATATGAGTTGCCATACGGGGGCATCTGTGTTTCATAAGCACATCTTTTTTTTAGTATGGAGGAATGTTTGACGTTAATTTTACGCCAGGTGCATATGGGAGGCAGGAAAGATATTATGATTATCCCAGAGAGGTAAATTAGAATAAGCTTTTAAGCTCACCAGATCTGTATAAGTTCAAAAGAGTCTTTTTTTCGATTTTGGTTTAGAAATTCGAACTTCAGATTTGCTTTATTATCGCTAAGTCATATGTTTTGATAGTCATGTATTTCCGATAGTATATTTTCATTACGTCGGATCTCCCTTAAATGACGTCAAATTCCTAATTATTAGAGAAACCTGACAGAATCTCGACCTTTCAGTTTAATGCAAAACATCGAAATTATCGAATATATTGGATACAAATGTAAATATTACACAGATAATGCAATCGCCGATTA